AATGTCAGAACTTAGATTATATTATTGGACTCCTTCTAGGTACATGCAAAAATTTATTTTATTTGTGGGAAGTCAGATCTTTCTTTAGCCAAAAGGCATCTCAAGAGTATATAATTTAGCCCCAGAAGTTTGAATTTCTCTGCCAACTTTACTAATGGAATGCTACTTATCAAACAACTCTGGATTCTCAAAGAAACTAAAGAGGTTTTCCACCACTTCCCTAAATAAACCTGTTCTCAGGGTAGTCATATTCATAGTTTAATAAAAATTTTTATTAAAAATGAAAAATTAGTCTTTTTATTCATAGTACTGACATAAGGTGAGACAGCAGCAGGAGTGTGAGTGTGAGGCAGCAGAGGATGAACCATATCTAGATCTTACTACTCAAACTCATGACTTGAATTGATACCTAACATTTATTATGGTTATAAGCATTGTTATTTTATTATTTTTTCCCTTCTCCAATTCATCCTTCATTTCTTAGGGAAAGAGACTAATATAAAAGCAGAATAAAAAAATAATGGCTAACAAAACCACAGCATAAGTAAAAGAAGAACCAACATGGGATCTGCCAATAAAAATGCTCCTTTCAAAGCTGGCTAACCAACTCAAATGTTTCTACTGACTCATTGGCATGCTACCAAGTGAACAGTTTCATATGTCTCCCAAAACTCATGGCCACCATTTGTTTGTAACAGATGCTCAAAAATTACAATCATAAATGCTAGGGTTGGAAAAGAACGATTAGGTCATTCCATTTGGTCTGATGTGGTCAGGATTATTGCAAAAAACTAGACTATTCTAGCGCTTTGCTAACAAATTTTCTGTATTTTTTTTATATATACAGGCCGGCTGCCTTCTCCTCAGGGGAGACTTTTCTTACTCTAGGTTTGAAGTCACACATATGCATGTTACAGTCTCTTGTACATCGCATTCCTCTCATATTTCTTCTGCATTTCAAGTTCTCTGGTTATAGTGAACAATTCTTTTCATGTATTCAATGATCAATAATTAAACACTGTAAACATTTAAAATATGGTGGGTCCTGCCATGATTACAGTGAAGAATCTTGTTGTCACTGTCAATATCCACAGGTAAGGTTATTGCCTTTTTCCTTTTTAATTTCTTATTTTATTGTCATGAAAATTCTGTGAAGCAGAAGCAATTATTTTTGCCATTTTTTTAATGTTCATTTTTGAGAGAGTGCAAGTGGGGGAGGGGCAGAGAGAGAGGGAGACACAGAATCTGAAGCAGGCTCCAGGCTCTGAGCTGTCAGCACAAAGCCCGATGTGGAGCTCGAATGCACAAACAGTGAGATCATGACCTAAGCCGAAGTTGGACACTTAACTGACTGAGCCACCCAGGTGCCCCATTACTTGCCATTTTAAAAATGAGCAGATTGAGGCACCAAGAGGTTAAAGAACTTGCTGAAGTCATAGAGCTAATAAGTTCTGATTCAGGCTCTTTTATTCCAGGAAGTATGTTCTTCCTAGTTGCCACAAGTAATTAGAGGCAGATATCATGTAGAACTAGTTGGACGTAGTAAACATCTTACAAATTGACAAAAGAATGAAGTAAATTCTGAGCAAAGTTGTAGAAACTGAGATAAGCTCAAATGAGGACAGATTAGCAGAACTTGCTCAACATATGAAGAAAAGGAGTCCAGAATATAGCAGAAGAAAGGCTATTGTCTTGGTTAGCTACATAGTGAAAACGAATCAAAAGCTCACTGCATTAGAACCCACTATATGTCAACCATAGTGTTTTGTGTATAATTATACTTAGGTTGTAGTTTTCAACTGAGGTTTTATGAATCATTTATAAGTATGCCATACTTTGGAAATCTACATTTTTAAAATTTATTTATTGAGGGGGGCGGGGAAGAAAAAGAACAAGCAGGGGACAGGCAGAGAGAGAGGGGGACAGAAGATCTGAAGCAGGCCCCATGCTGACAGCGGAGTCCTATGCAGGGCTTAAAACTCACGAACTGTGAGATCATGACCCAAGCGAAGTCAGCCGCTTAACCGACTGAGCCACCCAGGTGCCCCTGGAAATTTACATTAAAAAAAAAAAAATAGGGAATTCAATTCACTGTTCTAGGGGAAAGAATAAAATACCTGCTGCTTCACAGACTTGGTAGTGCCATGTGGGTTGGCTTACAGGGCAGTGCAAACAGAGAGGATCTGCTAATAAAACCTCCACTCAACAATATTTGGATAGAGGATTAGGTCTAATGTGCTGAGAGAAGGTATTAAACAACAATTTTACTAACATATGAAACTAAAAGACAACAAGGGGAAATTTAAGTGCAAATTAAAGCAAGGACTACTTTTAGAACTTTATGTTGGCAAATCCGCATGACACAAAACTTATGAAAAAACTGACTAAGAACATCATGATACCACAGAATATATTCTGAGCAATGGAAGAAGGTGATTTAAAAGATAGGTCATGGGGCACCTGGGTGGCTCAGTCGGTTAAGCGGCCGACTTCGGCTCAGGTCATGATCTCGTGGTCCGTGAGTTCGAGCCCTGCATCGGGCTCTGTGCCAACAGCTCAAAGCCTGGAGCCTGTTTCAGACTCTGTGTCTCCCTCTCTCTGACCCTCCCCCATTCATGCTCTGTCTCTCTCTGTCTCAAAAATAAATAAACGTTAAAAAAAAATTAAAAAAAAAAAAGATAGGTCATATAAGGGTGCCTAGGTGGCTCAGGTGGTTGAGGGTCCAACTTTAGCTCAGGTCATGATCTCACGGTTCATGAGTTCAAGCTCTGCATCGGGCTCTGTGCTGACAGCTCAGAGTCTGGAGCCTGCTTCAGACTCTCTCTCTGCCCCTCACCTGCTCACGCGCGTGCTCTCTGTCTCTAAAAATAAATAAACATTAAAAAAAAAGAGAGGTCATCTATCAGAGCCAGGTTTTAGCACTTTGTTTCTGAACTTTCATTTAATGTGTATTAAATTTCAATACTACTTACAAATTTCTCTACATACTTTAATCTTTTATCCCTGTCTTATTATGTGAGTGCTTGACATCACCAAAAATAGTTTTGCTAATCACAGTATTTTTCAGAAATGTAATCTCTGACCTGCTTTGGAAAGTGAAGTTCAAAACAGAGTGTAGCACTGTGGTACCAAAAAAGAAAAAAAAAAATTACAACTTCCTTTTCATAGCTTAAAGTCAAACATTCTTTTACAACTTCTTTCATGTCTTTGCAAGGTCCTAATAATAAAGGAAAATTTCTATACAAATACATCACTATTTTGCTATATACAGATTTGTACTTAGTAGGAAAGATCTGACAGGTGAAGTCAAGTACATGAAGACAACAAAACAAAACTTACACACTGTTACTTTAGTGAGGGCTGTTTCTGCTTTGGAAGATCACATGTGATACTTGGTTTTCCACAACATTATATCCATCATTTGTCCATTTCCTTAATTACTTTGGGCTCTGATTTAATTTGCTTCTCAACTCCTACCATGTTTTCAGTAATGGGTCCCAGATCTCTTAAACTCAAATGATTGTATGCTTTATCACCAAAAGTTACCTCTATTACTCCCTCTCCAAAATATCAGGTTTTGAATTTTAACCACCAGTGACAAAAAACTTGTTTTATATTTCCTTCACTAACTGCTCCCTAAGAAGCATATTCACAAACTTTTATTCTCCTGATGATACTCAGAACCCTAACCTCTCTCTCCATTCTCCCAAGCATGTCGATTTATTTCTGGCTTCAAGTATGCATCACTTCCAAGAGCAGGTCACCTGTAATGCTTTTCTAAAAGGTTAGAATCTCTTAACCTTGCACTGTGGTCTAAAAATCCATAAATGCAGGTGACACCACAAGAATTTCTTCCTTGACTCTTATGTTGCTATCAAATATCACATGTGCCATGGAAAATTCACACTAAAGTATAATGGTAAGGTCCTCTTCTAGTCTATAATTTGGATATTAGCCTAAAGCAGAAGTTTGTTTATCGTAGGTCAAAGAGACCCAGTATTTATGGAGAGAAGAAGAAACTAATAGAAAGTGAGCACAGATTATATGAGAGAAAATTAACAAAGGAAGGCTGCAGAGCTGTGGACCTGGGCTTAAAATCTGTGACAGAGACCAGAAGCTGCCCAGACAGCTGCCAGAAGCTGCTGAAGGAGAGAGAATATCTCTTCCGAAATAGAAGGGAAGACAACAAAAATACAGGTAGCTGTTGAGGTAAAGAAGGTAACCGAGCTATCCCAGGATAAATTTTTCATAAAACCTGGGAGCAGGATGATGACGCAGAGGTGAAGGTTGGGAATAATAAAGGAGAAAGTACTACTGAACTCTCAAAAGAGACATATTTGTTTTAAAGAGAAAGAAACCAGAGCTCCAAAGTTCACAATGAAGGAAAAGAAGCATCTATTGTGTACCAGCAGACATGCACATGCTTCACTACAGATTATCTCAGGAGACTAGTAGGAAAATGATGTACAGCAAAGTTCTATTAAAATTGACGACTTTGTAAAAATTGACTGGAGAATGTGGCAAACTATTAGCTCCTAAATATGGAGGATAAGTACATACGGGCTCATTATACTATTCTCTCTACTTTTACATACTTTCAGAAGTGGTTATAATAAAAAATGTTTTAAAAAAGTCCCTAGCTATCAGATGACCTCAGAACCAACAGTCATGTTCCTCAGTAAACTCAAAAATAATGGCTGAATTTTCCATACAATTTTAGAAATTTCAGAGATGCAACTGGATATGGTTACACACACACACACACACACACACACACACACACACACACACACACGAGGACTTTAAAATTCAATGAAGAGGCAAAAATAATTCTATTTTGACCAGAATTTGTTCCAAATTTGTTCTAGGGAAAAATACAAGTTTACATTAAAATTAAGCTAAATGTGTTAGGAGTAATAAGTAGGGCCAGAGGATGAAAGTAATGAGAAACAGGTTTTCTACTATGCATATACCTGAAAAGGAAGATTATAAACACTTACTTCATCTCCAGAACTTCCTCTAAGTGTTTTCTTCTCTCCGCCCGAAGATTGGTCAAATGAGTTTCCTTTTCTGCCAGAGACTGTTGGGTAGAGGACAGCTTTGCTTTCATGGACTCCAGTTCCTGCTTTACTTTCTCCATAGCCATCAGTAACTCCTCCACCTATGGTAAGTATGGAAAAAAAAAAACTGAACATTTTGATTAATTAAAGACAGAGGAGCAAAGTAACGGGCAATTCCTGGGTCTACAAATTACACACACACACATCAAAAATTATGTACTCTTTCTGGATCAAACAAATATATCAAGAATATACCAGATAAAGAAATAAATCTCTGGTCTTCCCTCCACTGTAATTCCTTTCAGGTTCACCAAAAAGAACTTCATTTCCTTTTTGATAAACACAATTGCATATAAGGCATCAGTTCAAGAAGTCACACTCTGCCAGTCAGTCCCTTTTGAAGATTTGGAAGTGGTCCACAAATACTCATGAAAATAACAGTATAACACAGATAAAAATAGAGGAACAAAATCACAGAAAACATTTCTATAAGGATTTTAAGAAATAAACTTGACTATAATAACATTCAGTATAAACATACATAAGTCATTTTTATTCATCCAAAAATTTTTCTGTTTACACCTTTAAAAAAATTTCTTTTTGAAGAAATAGCTAGAATTCAATCAGACAGTTTCTTGCTCTAAAGCCAGGTAGGTAGAGTTTTCTCAAGGAAGGCAGGAAGAAAAAAAGAAAAATACATAACCACCTAGAGAGAAGACAGAGGAGACCGAATGCTTTAAAAAGATTTGAAAAAAATCCTGAGGGAAAGAAGACAGAACTCTAAAACACAAGGAACTAAGAGAACACAGTATGTACTTCATCCATTTTTCCACTCAAGCTGGGTGGTGTCCAAATCAAAATTACTTAAATAGACATGTTCATTTTAATTCGGAAGGAAAATATATGCTGGCAAAAATGTGTTAATACCAAAAATCAACCTGAACCAGGTAATCAACCAGCCAACTGCACCAATCACAAGAGTTTATGTCAGGTTGCTGCTTGCCAAGAAATAATTTTGGTGACAACAAGCCTTTTCAGAGGAAGAGGTGGGGGATTTGCCATTCACTGACTCCTACATAAAACCAACTTGTGTGATACTAAAACTGAGAACAGTGTAGAGACAAAACTGCAATATAACAAATCAGAGTTGTTAACAGACCCCAGGATGTTAGTGCCTTATACCCAACCAAAGTTTCCACGTTGATTGGTAACAGCTGCTAAACAGTGATAGCAAACAGACACATTTAGTGTTTTGGCACCTGAATCACCTTACTTTGTGCATATTTTCAGAAGTGATCAAGTTAATTCTCAGCTAATAGCTGTGAAAATAACTGTTGTAAGAATATATATGAATTCACATATCTACAAGCTTTACGTAAATATAAATCACTATCCACCCTTTAGAAAACTACCAGTAAGGATGATTCCATTTTAATCAGTTTAATTCATGTAAAATCTTATTTAAAACTGAAATGAAATGATATACCAAGGTACGTTCTTGTAACAGAAAATCAGTAATGGACAGCACCCTTTATAGAAGCTCTAATAAAGTGTGGTATGTGTCCATCTATGATGAACTCACCTTAAATCTCAAAAAAATCTCCCTCTCATCTTTCACTACTCCAAGCAAGGCATGGTATCAGTTTCTTATATAATTTAGATATTATGTATATACATAAACAAGCATATAAAAACAACTTATTCCTCCTTTTCTATACAAAAAGGAAGTCCACTTTATATATACTCTAAAATTTTTGGTAAGCTTTTTATTGAAATACAACACAAATACAGAAAAATCCATAAATGAAAAATCCAACTTGAAGAATTTTCTCTAAGTTGAACACACCTGTGTAAATCAGAACACAGACTTATAAACAGAATATGAAGAGTTCCCCAGAAACGCATCTCATATCCCCTTTCCAGATGAAGAGTAGCCATTATTCTAGCATTCTACCTTAGTATTGCTTATTCGTTTATACAAATGGAATTACACAGAATGTAATTTTAAGTACAGATTTTCTTCACTCATGTGTTATGTCTATGAGATAGGAATTCCACTGTGTGAAAATAGCAAAATTTACTGAAGGAACTTTTGATTAAAAAAAAAAAAAACAAAAAACTTTTTTCCAGTTTTACTGAGAAATAATTGACATACATCAATCCCTGTGTAGTATGAAGGCACACAGCATGATGGTTTGATTTACATATTTATATGTGAAATGCTTACAATAGGGTCAGCTAACATGTATCGTCACATATAAATACAATAAAAAGAAAAGAATGAAAAAAACTAATTTCCTTCTTTTGAAATTTTTTTAATGTGTATTTATTTTTGAGAGAGAGAGAAACAGAGTGTAAGCAAGGGAGGGGAAGTAAGGGAGGGAGACACAGAATCTGAAGTATGCTCCAGGCTCTGAGACATCAGCACAGAGCCTCACGCGGGGCTTGAACCCACGAACTGCAAGATCATGACATGAGGCGTAGTCAGATGCTTAACCGACTGAGCCACCCAGGTGCCCCGATTTCTTCCTTTTGACGAGAACTCTTAGGATTTGCTCTCTTAACAACATTCCTACATTTATCATAGAACACTATTAGCTATAGTCATCATGTTGTACACTACATCCCTACTACTTATTTTATCTTATAACTGGAAGCTTGTGCTTTTTGACTACCTTCCTCCACATCACACTCATCCCACCTCCTACCTCTGGTAACAAGACTCATGTCTTTTTCTGTGAGTGAGAATTCATTTTGTTTTGTTTTAAATTTCACATATAAGTTAGATAACACAGTATTTGTCTTTCTCTAATTTATTTCACTTAGCATAATACCTGGAAGGTAGGTATAGCCACATTTTAATTTTTTAAATTAAAAATAATTTAAAAACTAGTTTTTAATATTAATGGGGTTTAGCTAACTAATTTTTTTCATTTATATTTCTTTTACGTTCAGAGCTTTTTGTATACTGGATAAGAAAATTTTGTCTACCACAAGATCATGGAAAGATTCTTTCTTCTAAATCTTTTATTAAATTACATGTTTCACATTTAGAGGTACAATATATACGCAACTGAATAAATACAGTTGCATGGTCAAATATTATTTTTATCAATTTGGATATCCAACTAAGTCAGCACTCTGAACAGTAGGAGGACTTTTACAGCCACGATAGTAAGGCACTTTCAGCCTACTGGCAAAAGATCTGAAATTATGTGAAAACTACTTACAAACTGTAGAAAAGATAATTTGACAATGCTTCATATTGTTCATAAACACCTTAAAATTTAATGAATAAGCAATGTGAAATATGTATATAAAAAAGGAATATGTATATATTCCAGAACCAAGAGCAATACACCCATCTATATACTCACTATCCTTTATACTTTATATCTTTTATACTCACTAGCTTTATAAGTGCAATTATCCAACTGTATCCCCCAAGTCCCCTATGATAGGTCATTACTATTCTTTTCTTTTTTTTAACGTTTATTTATTATTGAGAGAGAGCGAGAGACACAGCATGAGCAGGGGAGGGGAAGGGGGAGAGGGAGACACAGAATCCGAAGCAGGCTCCAGGCTCCGAGCTGTCAGCACAGAGCCCGACGTGGGCTCCAACTCACGAACCGCAAGATCATGACCTGAGCCGAAGTTGGATGCTTAACCAACTGAGCCACCCAGGCACTCTGGTCATTACCATTCTTAATTTGTTACTTAATCTCTTCCATTTCTTTATTTTTGCCTTTCGTATGTATTTAAAAATAAATCACTGCTTTATTCTATTAGTTTATGAACACTGTATAAATGGAACCTCCTGACTTTATTTCATCCAACATTATGTTTTTTCATGTAAAAAAGGGACCTATTCTATGTGTGTATTTCTGAACCAAAAGGACAACATACACCTATGTAATTCACCACTCAGGAATTAAAAGCAATGAGAGCCAACAACTTTGAACACCACAGCACCCAGGCTATAGTTTCCCACTAAACTGAAAGGGCTTCTTAAAAATACAGCTGATTCTAGATTTGGGCAAGAAATGTACAAAAGGTGAACTTTACACAATTTAGGCCAGAAAGCAAGAGAAATGGGAATCATGGCAAAAAGGGATCATGACACAATCCTTATGAGAAAACAAGAAAAATATATCACAAGAAAGGAAACTATATAAGAATATACCTTCTGAATACAGAAGGTATTCAAAAACTAAAATCAAACTAAAATACTAAAAAATCAAACCCAGTAAGATCTAAAAATTGAGATTTATCCTAAGAATGCAAGGTTGGTTTAACACATAAAAAATAAATGCAATAAACCATATTAATAGAATATAGGACAAAAACACCATATGATTATCTAAGTAGATGTAGAAAAAAAGCATTTGGCAATTTCTAACAACCTTTCATAACAGAAACAGTCAAGAAAATACAAAGAACCTTTCTTTGGGTGCTTGGGTGACTCAATCAGTTAAGCATCCGACTCCTGATTTTGGCTCAGGTCATGGTCTCATGGTTGTGAGATCAAGCCCCATATTCGGCTCCTTCCTAGGTGTGGAGCCTGCTTAAGATTTTCTCTCTTGTTCTGCCTCCCAACACCTCTGCCTCTACACACGCTCTCTCAAAACAAACAAACAAAAAACAAAACCAAAAAAACCCCAAAAAACAAACACTTTCTTAGCCTGATAAAGGGCATTTATGAAAAACCCACAGATAATATACTCTTTAATGATGAAAAACGTAATGCTTTCCCTCTAAGGCCAGCACCAAGAACAAGACTAGAAAGAATGTCCTTTCTCACCATTTCTGTTTAATATTGTACTAGAAGTAATAGCCAGGGAAATTAGAATACACAAAAAATTAAAAGGTACCCATGTTGGAAAGGAAGACAAAACTTTTTCTGGTTGAAAATGACATAATCTTATATAGTGAAAAATGCTAAGAAATCCTCTAAAAAATTATAATCAACAAGTATACAAAAGTTGCAGAATACAAGATCAATACACAAAAATCAATGGTCTATCCATACATAAGCAACAAACATTCCAAAAATGAAATTAAGAAAACAATTCCATTTAAAATAGCATCAGAAAATGGGGCG